ACTGTTCGCTTCTCGGAACAGATAATGTCCGCGGACAAATATCCGAGCATATTTTCGCGCCAAATGGAGGATATTGTTCATTTAATAACAAACAGAGAGACTTTATTGTCGGTGGAACATATCAATTTAACTGATGTTTGTAAAAATACATGACAAACGTATCCATACGACAACAAGCCTAATGCAGAAATCGTGTCCAGGGGCCCGTTTCTCGAAAGTCCCGGAAACTCTTCGGGCCTGTAAAGCCATTTTTAGTTCATCTGTATCTGAAAACGGAGAAGTGTATACGCCTGAAACTTCTTGTATGAAGGGAACCTCTGTTCATATTAAGAATATGTGAATAAAACAGCTCTGTAATCGTAAGGTTCGAGATTTTGCTATGGCTTTCCGGGCCCCAAAAGTTTCCGAGACTTTCGAGAAACGGGCCCCAGATGTCTACAACTAAAAGGTGAGAATTAACAATTACCACACACAAACATTGTTTAGATAATGATAACGACAATAAATGAAACAATGGATCTATTCCGGTACCGTCGAAAACATACTTTTTTGTGTGCAACTGCATGTCTATAAATAAAGGAGGGATGCGGTAAATCTTCGAATTAGCGTCGAGGGCGCTTTTTCAAATTTAGAAGAAATCGTGGTCAGATAAGATCGTGTTTTAATCAATTGCTTGTGGTTTAACACGACCAATACCGTACATCCTTTGTTGTCTCAGAACTCATCCATAAAACAGGGGTAGGGGAGCTTATTCGAAGGGAGGCGCTTATTTTAAAGTTTGGCCTATAGGAGGGACGCTCTTTTGAAGGTAGACTCTAATTCGAGGATTTATGGTATAACCGTTGCATTGATTGAAAACGGAAGGGAAAAAACGTCAATCGTAAATTTAGTCTTTTCCAATCGCTTTGTTAACATTTCTCTTTGAAATTTTTGAAGACATGGGCAACGTTACAAACACAGAAACAAAAGGAGAAGAAACTCAACAACAACAACTGTTTAAGGAAGAAACAAGTGATGTTACCGTTGATGAATTACCTCAGTACTTTCAGCATCTAAAACTAATTCATGACTCGACGCCAACAGAAGGAAACGAGAATAGTTTACGGTTAGCAGTGAGGTGCAATAGTCTAGAAGGACTTGAACGCCTGTGGGAAGACTATCGTTCTGGTCGCCTTAATGAAATAGCTGAGAAATACCTCGTGACAGATGAAATTAAGAGGAGATTTCATGTGGAGTCTGTAAATTTAGCCACAACTATTCTGGAAGAAGATTACCTGGCATGCAAAGAATTTCTGTCGAGCAAATCAAGTAAGTCGAAAATAACATTTGTTTAAGGTGTGAGATAAGTATGTTTATACATTTCTATTCAGTCAAAACTAAACCAATAGGTTTTGACATGTCTTTTATTCAGGAAGCTGGCTATGTCAAGTTAACAATGATTGTATGGCTTTGTCCCAAGATGTTGTGTAGGTGTAGTTTATCTCACGACAATCATCTTTGTAGAAGAAGACATTTGCTTAACAATTTAACTATGAAACACTGCAATAATATGGAAAAACTCAAAGCCATTTTGGTTTAAAATCAAAGAAGACGTTTCGACGTTCGCTTAACGTCATTATCGAGACTCTATCAAGTCAACTGAGTGAATGAAATGAGTACAAATTTAAATATGAACTAGACTTCCTAAGGGACGCGAATGCAAAGAAAACAATGATAAAGAAATTCAAAAAAAAGCTTAAAATATTTAAAAATATTTGCCCGCAAAGAGTCACGCAAAAAGTATGGCACGAATTGAGTTATATTTGATATTAGCAGAATTCTATTAGTATACTAATGGAAATGCTGCAATCTGATTGGCTGAGCTACTCGTATACTATCAGCCATTAGAGTGCAGTGGCCGTCGCTTGTCCACAAAATGCGACGTTTTTATCGTTTTTCCGAAGTTTTGGAAGAAAGTTAAGATGTAAATGGATAATTTAATTCCTGAGAAGACTAAAAGAAGGACATTAGCGGTTTCTTGACTTTAAAACTTGAAATTATTGAAAAAAACGGGTGCGCGCGTGTCAACAACTGCAAATTTACCAAGGACAATTCAATGTGTGCGATTTTGTTAAAGCGTAAAGTTCAATAATGCGTATAAAAATAATTAGAAACCGTTATTTGCGCTTATTTCAGTTAGAATTCTACTAAAACAATTAGATTATTCGCTCTCGATTTCTATGAGGTGATAGTTGATTCGGCCTGAGGCCTCATCAACTATCACCTCATAGAAATCGAGAGCGAATAATCTAATCGTAAATATATATTTTTAGCGTTCTTTTTTTAGAATTTTTTATCATTGTTTTCTTTGCATTCGGGTCTCTTAGGAATTCTTTGTTATATTTAAATTTGTACCCATTTTATTCACTCAGTTGACTTGATAATGACGTTAAGCGAAAATCGAAACGTCGTCTTTGATTTTAAACCAAAATGGTTTTAAGTTTTTCCATGTTATCGCAGCGTTTTATAGTTAAATTTTTAGACAATCATCTTATATTGAGAACTAAAGAGGTCAACAGTGTAATGTACCGTTTTATAATGACGACCAACCAGTAGCACCCACAACAAAAAATAAACAATTTCAGTAATTACAGGCCACAGACCCGGTATTTACAGAATTTTTATGTCGCTCAGGTATATCTGTGGTATTTCTTCAAACGTACAAATAACATTGCTTCTTTCTTTCGCTAATTTGTTAGACAGCAATGCTAGTTCACCCATAAAGGCCACTGGAGAAACTTCGACTCAAACTTCTGCGGAAACTCATACCCAGATTGCTGTCAAACGTGGAACTCTGACTTTAGCGGAACTACAGATTCAACCTGCTGAGGAATACCTGGGTCAGATGGTTGACGAAAGTGAAACCTTCGTTTCAGGGAATACTCGCATTCCATCTACGAACGAAACTCGTACTTTGACTGTGGAAGGCACAGAGGCCCAAGTTAATGCAGAGGCTCAGATTCCAGATCAGGCTGAGAAACCTAGGACAGGGACTGGGGAAGCTACAGAAACTGGAGCTACTGGCGTGAGCAAGATTCCGTCTGTGGCAAAAACTCAGACCCAGGCTTCAACTGAAAGAACGAACCTTGCTAGAGGCGAAACTCAGATTCAACCTCCCGAAGAAACCTACCCCCGTACAAAGACTAAAAGAGAGACTAAAACTACGGAAGAAAGTAAGCCCTCAATTTTGAACGGTAGAGATATTTCCTTGTATTACATTAAGAAAAAATTACCATTATTATCGGCCTTTTTATCAGCGTCAAAGGAATCGTTTTCCCCTCATGTTTTAGTGTGCGTTCAATAACACGCACACGAACTCAAAAAGCAGTTGCGTTCTTCGCTATCATCCTAAGCCCCTTTCAGATAACGAATTCACGTTTCGAAACGTTTGGTAAATTTCGATCCATTTTGGTGTTGTTTTTTAAGGTTTGATTGATGTCGTCGTAATTACGATTGACGGCAGCGAGAAGTGCAATCATTAGTTAAGTTTGGAACTTCGGGGTTCGCGATTTTTTGAAAGGCCTGGTAAGTAGCCGAAGGCAGTTTCGTCTACCATGTCTACCCCCGTAGTTTAAGTAGGAAAAACAAACAACAATAGTAAGTACAAGGAAAGATATGTGTGGGCTAACCTTGAGCCGCCAATAATCACAAGATCGACTCTAGGGGAACTAAAACAAAAATTAAGAAACTCAAATTCAGCCTCTCAGCACAGCTACCACTTCATAGATATCAAGGGCAAAAAATCTTATTGTCCTAGTAGAATTCCCAATAAATTTCCTTCAAATAACAATTTCCAACTTTTTTTTCCCAAACTTAACTTTAAGCTTTAGCGAATTTACGTGGATTGAATTATCATTTGAAACTGACAGCTGTGCATTCGCGCTTATCGGTTTTGTCGAGTTACAGTATATGTCGTTCTTTCAGTCTTCTCGGGAATTGAATTATCTGCAACAATC